TTCAATTAATGGAACCACTATCTTGCCAGGCTCAAAATCCTCTACTTTCAATTCTTCCTCTTCTCATTTCTAGTTGAATTCTTCTTTGGGACACTTAATAATGCCAATCAGTAATACTAAGTCTCTAGTCCAGCAATTCTCAAACTTTTTGAGAACCCCTTTACACTAAAAAATTATTGAGGATTCCAGAGAACTTTTATGTGGGTTATATCAAGTTTTAAATTGTTATTTATTCATTTAAAAATAATAAATCAATTACATGTTAATATGAATTAACTTTACCAAAAAATCAGGACATTTACAAAAACAAAAAAAAAATTATTGACAACAATGGCACTGTCTTAACAATTATGCCATGTCTGGCTTAAAAAACAGCTGGATTCTCAAGAATTTGTATGCTTGCTGTTGGAAGATCACACACCTGGAAAACTCTACTGTACACTTGTAAGAGAATGAGAGTAAGGATGGCAAAAAGCCTTCTTAGTATTATTATGAAAATAGCTCGACTTTGCAGAACTCCCAAAACAATCTGAGGACCCTCTCCCCCATAGCCTCAGCCCACACCTGGAGAACCACTACTGTAAGACAGTGTGGGGATTAGCTTTCCCACACTTCTCAACGACTACTTCATACTCCCCTGTCTCACCTCCACTCTCCAACAGACCACCCTCCACCCTCCTTCTCTATCTCAGCTGCTGCTTACTTCATCACAAATTTAAACGTAACAGTAAGAAGAAAGCTTTACCAAATTCCTACCACCAGACCCACCCACCTACAAGCATCTGCACCCATATGCTACCTGCTCTCCTGTCACTATGCATGGGGTGCCAGTGAATAGATCTCACCCCTCTCACTGCTCAGGACCTGCTCCTGCAAGTCTCCTTCTCTCCTGCATCTACAATTTCAATTTCTGTCTCCTTCCTGGAAGAAATGTACAAATATGATGTATACTTAGCCATAAGCAGCTCTTGACACAGTTCCCCACTCCTTCTGCCTGAAATGCTCTCTTCGCTTGGCTTCTGAGACCCCACCACCAGGTTTTCCTCCCACCTCACTGCGTCACTTGGTCTCCATTACTCTAACACATGATGCCCTAGGGTGCCATCCTAGAGCCTCTTTTTTCTGTGTACATTCATTCCATCACTGCTGTCACCTAACCTCCTGGTCACCTGCCACTATCTACAGAGTTGGCCCCCAAATTTCTATCTTTAGCCCAAACTTAAACTTGAGCCCCCCATACCCAGATGCCTACCTGCCCCCTCCACCTGGGTGTCTCAGGCACTTTGCAGGAAGCCCAAGTCCTATGATGACCTCTCCAAAACCTAGACCTTGTAACTCTCCGACATGTCCCCTTACACTCCCACACTCACTCTACTCCAGCCACGCTGGCCTCCTCCTCCTCCTATTTGAAATGGGTATCTTTGCACTTACTGTTCCCACTGCCTGGAAAGCTCCCCTGCCCCCAAAATCCACATAACGCACTCCTTCACTTCCCCTGGGTCTTTCTTTCTTTCTTTCTTT